CTTGGCTTTAAGCAGTGAAAAACAGGGATTGTAGGGAAAGAGACGACAGATGGGTAGAGGCCTAAGCAGCCTCAAGCCCAACTCACCACCAGCACCTGCTTTCATTTGCTCTCATTATGTCTGCAATGCTCAAAAGCAGCACAATGGAGCAGGAGAGAGTCAGCAGCACTCAAACTACAACAAGGTCAATTATCTCTCTCAGTGAAACGCCCACATTTGATGGGATTATTTTTTCCCACCAAAAATCATAAATACTTCTCAGCTGATATGAATTTTTCAATGGCCTATGCTAATAGTGATAGCTGGAGAGCATAGTTGCCAATGGCTAATATAATACCAATTATTGAGATTTTTTTTTATTTTTTTTATTTGTTTGCCAAATTTTCCTTAGATTGCAATCATGTAATCATTGCTTTAATGTGTTCATTGTTTTTGCTTAAATGAATATGTTATGTTAACTAACTGCATGATTTGTATCCTCTTAAAACTGTACATTTATGCCAAATGGGCATTACTTTGACACAGCCACCTCTGATAATAGATCAATATTACTTGTAATGTAGAAACATACATTTTCTGTGAAGCTGCTTTGAAACAATATGCGTTGTGAAAAGCTCTTTACAAACAGATTCATTATTATTATATTGTCATTAGTTTTTAAAAGTAAGCAATAAATGTAAGTTTCTGAAAAAAAAGGTATTTTAATTTAAACAAATATGAAAATGTTTTTCTTCCAGTTACATCTCAGCGTACTCTTAATATAAAGGTAATATTTTCAAGAAAATATATTTAAAAAAAAAAATTGTTTGTACATTAACTGAGGGGTGTTACAGAGTATTTGTTAAATATAACTAACAAAAACTATATTGTGTGTCTGATTGGTCCAGACGCTACAATGCCAATATAAAATCCATTTGTTTGTTTGTTCATGTAATTTTCTTAAAATATTTTATTTCAAAACCTCTGACATTTGATCTATTATTGAACATAGAGATCATTTTTTGCTCATTTGAAATTATTTAATTTCCTACCCCTCCCCAACATAATTTTCCATCTTGTCACCGTTCCTTAAAAAAAAAAAAAAGGTGGAAAAAAAGCCAAAAATAAATGTATAAAAGTTATGTTTAACTTCAAGATATCATGACAAAAATTTATTACTATCATACAGTGGAATGTACTTTTCGAAGTAATAACAATAATAAAAAAAAATAATACAGTTTATTAAAACATAATTTTTTAAGGAATATCACAAATTTTCTTCCATGTTTTAATATAAGCTGTAAACTGTTGTAGAGTACTTTGCCATAAACTGCAAGGAACTGTTCAAATTTCATTTAAAGGGGTCATATGATGCTATTTTAAAGATCATTATTGTGGGGGCGTGTTAGAACGAGCCGTTTTAGGCAGGCGTGGTTGACTCTTAACTTTTATAAAGAATATCTCTTTGGATTTGAGACTTTAGTCTTTGCAACCTTACAGATCTTCTTTATGCACCAAGAGCTTGTAACACTCCAAAGAGAAAGGAAAACTTGAAATCGCATCATATGACCCCTTTAATTACATTTTTAAAGATTAATTAAATGGTTAAAGTTTTATGCATTCATTTGATTACCACAATTTTTTGATAATAAATTTAATTTAAACCTTAAAAGAATCCAGAAAAATAAAAACAGACCAAAACTGAGAGGGCAGAATGCAGTTATTTAATTACAGCATGACATGGTTCGTTTAATTTTTAGGAATTTTGCAGACGCAACGCTACACTTAGCAACTGACCTTCACTTCCAGTTTCCTCGTGAGTCAGTCAGTGCCGCATTTCAGTGTAGACAGTGATGGAGTGGCTCTTGTTTGGCCCTGGCCCTGGATTCAACAGTACCATAAAACGCGGCGTAAGCCTGGCGGAAAAAACTCAGAATGATTCATTGCTTTTACAGTCCCATAAACTCTTGCCTCATCTGTCAGAAAGTGACAAGGCTGCCACCGCAAGTTCACTAACCATTTTTTGCTGATGCTGCCATGGATTTGGACCCCGTGATGAGTCACGCCAGCTTGAAAGGTGATGGCTAAATGCCTGATAGTCTGATACATCAGCATTTGTTCAGCTATTCAAGGCCCGTTGCCTGCCAGCCAGAGTTCAGTGGTTCAAAATTGCTGTTCTCCTCAGAGGCTTGTGCAGTTACTAAACATTTAGTGGACACTTTTATCCATTGCCACTTATAGTGCACTTATTACAGGAGCAAGTCCTTCTGGAGAAACCTGAAAGTAAGTGCCTTACTCAAAGACACAATGGTGATAATTCATGATTTGCTTTTTGTTGGAATCAAAGCAGTTATCTTACTGTTACCAGAAAGCTGGTATCCACATGTTATATGATAATTGTCATGATCATAAAAATAGCATAAACGATTACAACTAATCATGAGAGCATTCATATGTTTGAATAGCAATTCTAAGGTCAACATGAAACAGCGTTTGCAACTTTTTTTTAACTTCTGTAATGGGATGTTTTTCCATATGAAACAGGGTATTCAATGAAGAAAGGGGCAGTCTGCAACTTGATATTATGCATTACATCATGAAAAGTGGTCAATATGTTCACTATAGACCAATTTAGAGGAGACGTCACAGTTACGTCACTTGCAGCTGCAAGTGGTTGCAGAAAAACACTGGGAACAAGTGGAGGTAAATGGGTAAAATCCATGGAATAAAAGAAAAAAATATTTTTGTGCCTTTTGATGTCAAGATCGGAATGCAAATAATTTTTATAGAATATTGTCGTCATTTGAAGCTAAACGCAGACGTTTAGATGGACATACTATGGATGAAAACTGTTATGATTACTCTACTTTTAAAGCATAAATTCGATTTAAACAATAGGTCTACATAATATTCACATATGCTGTTCATAGGGGACGTATTGTATTAGCCCTACAGTTACAGCATGAAATATTATTTAAACCTTACTATTAACATTTTTATATAACATTTATTTATTTTATCTCACAATTCTGACTTTTTTTTTTCTCGCAGATGCAAGTTTATATCTCCTAATTCGGACTTTATAACTCGATTTAACTCAAAAATAGTGAGTTTGTCAAATCTGAGGGAAAAAAGCCAGAAGAGCCGAGGGGAAAAGAGAGAATGACGAGTTGTTTTTCCTTATTAGAATTGTGAGATATAATCTCGGAATTGCGAGAATAAAGTCATAATTTTGAAATATAAAATCAAATTTACCTTTTTTTATTCTTTTATTCCATGGCTCCATAGACTGCCGCTTGAAAACCGTCATTTTCTGCTTCCAGATAAGCTCCGCCCACAAAAAACCATCATCCCTGTTTCGGATCTGTAAGACTATCGCACTCTCTAACGTCAATTTCGTTGAATAACTGTGGTTATCGCTGGGGGACAAGCTCTTGTAATATGCGGAGAACATTTTGAAAATGACATCTAATCAATATAATTTATAATCTTTTTAAACCTAACTATTTTGTACCGTATCCGTGAAATTCTCTAGCTGTAAAGGCTATCTCTCCCGGGTTTTCTGCAACCATGATGCGCGCGCATCCTGAATGTTTACAAACCGGTAATTGGTCTACATGAGATGGATAAAGGTAAGAGGTTGAATAATGAGTTTTTACATTTTGATTGTAAAGGCATGTCACTATTAAAAAAATTTAATAATTATTTTTTTATATTTTGAAAGAAGTCTTATGCTCATCAAGGCTGCATTTAATTGATGAAGAAATACAGTAAAAACAGTAATATTGTGAAATATTATTACAATTTAAAAGAACTGTTTTCTATTTTAATATATTTTAAAATGTAATTTATTTCTATGTTGGCAAAGCGAAATTTTCGGCAGCAATTAATTTAGTCTTTAGTGTCACATAATCTTTTTGAAATCTTTCTAATTAGGGGTGGGCGATACGACCAGAGTCTTATTTCACGAGATGAGAAATTTTATTTCAAATTAACGATATATATCACAATATAGTTATTTTTGATATATATTTTTTTGTCATTAAAAATAAAAACAAAGAAGCAATTTACAAACAATAGGATAAATACAATAGAAAAAATATGTTATTTAATATGTAGTAAGAAATACTGCAGAAATTGAATAATCAAATGTAAAAATAAAAAGCTGCATAGTCTTCAGTGTATGAATTACATAAACATTTATTCTTATTAAATTTACAATAGTTAATTTGTCAAGAGCAGTACGTTTTTTTCCTTTTTTTTCTTTTTTTGTTTGATGAACATTAATTAATTTAGTGTTCTACTAACCTGCTGCGCAGCAGTAACAGAAAGACTCTAGACAATGCCGTTGAATATGATTTAATCACGGCCGGGAGGATTGTGTAACAAAAAGAATACAACAGTTTATAGAGCATAGGTGCATGGCAAAGATGACACAATTCATTACATCATTTTTCTCTAATATAATTGGATCTTATGTGCAATTCTGCAAACCTCCCCTCTGTTACTGGCATAAGACATTTGGTTTTTTGATTACTTCAGCTTGTTACTCAAGTCATGGGTTGTTATGGTTATTTTTATATTCAGACATACGTCTAGCCGTCTTGTCCATATGCATCCATTATTGCAACACACTAACTAAAGTGTTGATACATTTTGTTCTCAAAAACATACAAATGGTAGGCCTGCAAGGTAGAGGAGTGTTAGTTGTGATTAATTTAAAATGATTAATTTAAAACAATTTCCTTCACCACACTTAATAAACCCTACTTATATGAGCCTTTTTTCCCCATTTAGATGCTGTCTATAGGATATTTTGAATCGATTTGACAAAAATGACAGTTTGGTCCAAATGATGAATCCCTTTTCAAAACAAATACATAATTGTGATAAATGCTGAATATTGTAAACAGATAATAATAAGAAAAAAATAATAAGAGAGAACTTTAAGTTAGATCTACCAACTATGTGATACCACACTACATGGTGTCTGTAATATGTTTGTGTCTGTGTGTTCACAGTTTCTGTGGGGACTGTCTACAGCCGTGTTTGCAGGTGACATCGCCTCTCTGTCCCCTCTGCCGTATGCCTTTCGATCCAAAGAAAGTGGACAAATCCCCCAGCGTGGAGAAGCAGCTCTCTTCATATAAGGCTCCATGTAGAGGGTGCAGCAAAAAGGTTAGTCCTTGTGCTTACACAAATAAATAGGAATTTAAAAAAAAAACTGGGCATAGTACCACAAGGCATGTTCCTCTGAACAGTGCAGCTGTCATTATATAAGGCATTTACACTAAAACTTGCTTCAGGGACACTAAAGCATGACATCCTGACTCTCCCGCAGGAGCCGTTCAAAAATGTATTGACAGTTTAAAGGGGTCATATGATGCTATTTAAATTTTTCCTTTCTCTTTGGAGTGTTGCAAGCTCTTGGTGCATAAAGAAGATCTGTGAAGTTGCAAAGACTAAAGTCTCAAATCCAAAGAGATATTCTTTATAAAAGTTAAGAGTCAACCACGCCTACCTAAAACAGCTCGTTCTAACACGCCCCCACATGTCTACGTCACGATGTGGGAAGATTTGCATAATGCTGCCCAAATGTTTACGCAAAGAAAGAAGGCGTAACTTTTATTCTCGCTGTAGTATTGTTGCCGCCATGTCGTGAAGACGCTGTGTCTGTGTTTTTCGTTGTGAAAGCGAAGCTACTTTGTTTGG